CGCTGGTGATGTTCTTCACTTCATACTGCTTGATGATCAGGTATGTTTTTGCTTGCATTTTTTCTCCTTCTTTGATTCAGATTGGGCTTTTTAATTAAGAAAAGTTCAAAATGTTTAGGGTTCAAAAATTCAAGCAACAGTAGGACATGAGGAGTGTGTTCCTTATTTTTTTTAGAGGCTCCATGAGGGAGGCTTATGGAGAAGAATTAGAAATTTCAGTGTGGTCTCGGTGAAATCGGCGAGGCAAGTTACAACAAATTGTTGGCGAATTGAGTTTGATTCCAGCACTAAAGTCTTGGGAGATCTCAAAACTGGTGATTTGTACAAGGGAAAGGATCCACATTTGCGTTTACTTAGCTATGAAAATCTTTATCTAGGGAATTTCCAACGAAATTGTCTTGTCGGTAAGTCTTCTTGCGGATCTCTCGATATGATTTCAAATCGACAATTATGTCTTACAAGCGTTTTTCTGAAATAATACTTACAGATCTAATTGGTGTTGTTGACACTGTTGGTGAACTTCGGGTTGTCAAAGACCGTTCCTTTCAAGATTTTGAGTCAAAAATGACAGCAATGATTGAGTTTACATTAACGGATGATACGTAAGTCATTGTTTAGTGTTTTGTGTTATATTCAAAATATTTATAGTACATAACAAGTCAGCCTAACATAGTTATAGTGATAGGATGATCAAGTGTTCTGCACACGGAAAGTTGGTCATTGAGTTCAACGATAGGTGGTGTTATTGTACTGAACAACTGGTCATTTGTGTTCTAAGTGACTGGCGTGTCGTCGTATGCAATGGTATGACAATTGTGCTATTATCTTAAGATTATTATTGAACTTTCCTTTTGAATGAGGATCATTTTTTTGTAGAGGAATATCATGTTACTGACCATCTCGGTGTCTCAAGAGTTTTGTTCAATCTTGATCTTCAAGAGGCACACGAATTGCGAGATATGTTGTAAGATATGAATTTTTTTTTGCATATAAATATTAAGATTGTGCGATAATGATCAACTATTTTCGTAACTATTATGCTTAAATATGCTTGAATAGGATTGGACTGAGTGAGTATGGCAATGAGGACGAAGAGGAAGACTACATCAATATCGACGATTCTTATAAAATTTCTATGTTAATTACTTTTTATGTTTAAAAAGGTATTATCTAATAACCTATATCGCTACTTCAAAAATATACGCTAACATGATATATATTGTTTGAATGATCACTTATATTCGTTATAACTATCTTAAACTTCTATGTATCTTCTGAATGTGTTTTGACAAAATAAGTATAAGGAATATTTATTGCCTGCGCCATGCGCGGGCAACTACCTAGTAAACGTTAAATCGTGAATCCTAAACCCTTCTAATCTAAATCATTAAGCTTGGATTTTAAACAAAATGGGCTATATAACATTTACTCAATCTTTTTAACTACGTTTTCTTGGGGCTTGTTACCTCTTTCAAGAACTCTTGTTTCTTCTCCGGCGTATCTAGCCGGACAACCTTAACAGCCGCGGGAGTACTATCAAGGCTACAACGGTAAACTTTTCCGTAACCTCCTTCTCCGATCACTTTGTCCGGCGAGAACCCTTCGGTGGCTGTAACGATCTCCTCGATTTGTGTATTTTCTGTACCGGTGATCGGTTCCTAGAAGCTGATCGATCACTTTCTTCTTCTCCAAGTAAATCCTTAAAGCATTCACTTCTGCGATCTGTCGCTGACAAAACTCTCTGGCAAGCAACGCTTTTGCGGCTTCAACTTCTTTGACCGCCTTCATGTGCCGCTCTTTCTCCAGCGCTGCGGTTTTCCTCTGCAACTCTTCTTCCTCCACAGCATTGTTCATTCTTCTACTGTCGTTCAAACATTCTGACGACAGCACTTGAACCTAGAAGAAACCCCCAAACCAAAACAAATACTTTACTTGAAGAACAAGCAAGCAATATGATTCACCATTTCAAAATGTCCCATCAAAATGATTTGGGGAAAATATATAATGACGTGCTAGAAGTTTAACTTTTCTTGGGGGTTGTTAAGGGGTTTAACTTTTAAGACAATCATCATATATATATACAAATATGTAGAGAAAAACTCTTCACAAGCTTGTTTATATTTAACGACCGTACTTTGTAACTCCTTCAAACGCTCGACCTCTGCTTCAATCTCAACCTGTCAAACAACACTGATGAATCTTCAAGCTCTATCTTCCTTCTTACTAATGTCTCACCATTGAAATAAAAGATGATAAGTATACCTTTTTGAATTTTCTAGATGTTGCGGGTGGCGAATCAGAGTCTCTTTGTTCTCTGACGATGTTCTCAAGATTCGATTGGGGTTCGGTTGTTTGATCAAAATATCTGATCCTCCACGCCGCCTTGTAATCTCTGGTACTGTTGCATTAGAAGCCTCACTACTTTGAGGCGTTCCGGGTTTACTATTAGCGAGGCTTAATGACTCTAATCTCAGCTCTCTAGCCGATGCTGACCTTCTCGTTCCTCCCTCTTCAACACCCCAAAAGAAAGGGAAACATCTCAGGCTTTCATAGAGTTCATATAGGTTACACATTATTGTATTGTATATTCGATTATGAATCTCCGATTGATGCATGTTCGTTGCAACTTTCAACATCGACTTTTATACTGAATTTATATTTTGAATTTAGATTTAGAGTTATAAGATCATACAACTAGTTCTTGTTATGTTGCGTAAATTACGTTTCAATTTACTTTATATCAAAATGACATAAAACTGGTAGTGTTCTTAATTATGTTGAAAAAATTAGTTGTTCCGAAAATTTTAGATGAATAAACTATTTTGATTTCTTGTAAGCAAATTTAACCAATAAAATAAAATTACAAAACATAAATTGTTTAAATATTTGCGCAAATAAGTTTTTGTATATATACACAAATTAGAACTGATCAATTTTCTTTTGTAGTAAATTGAAAATTTGACAATTATTCCACAACATTTTTTATCCTATATGAATCCAATGGAAATTTGTATATAATTTACCTATGGATTCGCGAGGATCAGGTAACGTTTGAGACTGTACAGTGTGGAAGCTAGCCGCCCCATCTTTCAGGAAACCGTGGGCGGTGCGTTTGGACTTATGCACGGTGCTGATAATTAGACGTTTAAACACTATTAAAGAGAAGATTCTAGAAGCAAAAATACTGCATATTGGAGAAAATTAGATAATAAATTGTTTTTACCTTCATTGATTAATGGATCCATAGATTTTGTAGTGATTCTGTCTCTACACACAATATATACTTCACATGTTTCTGGAGCGTATCTTAAGACAGTCAATGGTAATTCTGGACCTTTTGTTCTCCTAAACCGAAGTAAATCATCCGGTTAGTATAAAACCCGTGTTATTTAAGGAAAACTAAACCAAACAGAGCTAGTTACTTATACCGTGTGAAAATGTTTGAAGTGAATGATCCCATAACCAAACTGTTAACTCCTGATTTGTATATGAATCATAGAAGCACTTTTGCTGGATCATCGTACTTTAGCAACAGAGTCTCTACCTGACACTGAAGGTTATGTATATAATTCAGGGAATTTACAGTTTGACCCTAAAACTTCTACAGATTTATAAAATTGGGGGACTGAAAAATAAAAGAGATGTTTCATCATAGGACACTTTTTCCTAAAGTGATTACATTTTGCACACTTACTTCAATATGAGACACTTTCAATAATATTTTGCACCCCTTGTTTTCTTATTTGCCCTTTCTTTCTATGATAAATTTCTTAATTATTAACCATACCGCTGTGTAGACTTCACCTTGTACCTTCCTCAACACGATGTATCCCTTGTTGTACCTCTTTCTCTCCCTCCGACTTCTGGTGACTCCGCTCCTTCTTCCGCCAGATCCGCACCGTTTTCTATTAGTTCGGCGTCTTCAACTTCGTCAATAGTGTTGTAATCCATTTTTATAAAATCCAGACAGACTTTAACTTTCTCAAAATTCTAGATCTCAAATATCAGATTTAGATTTGCTGCTTGAGTTAATATTTTGTTTCGATCTTGGAGAGCTGGAGATCTGAATATGTGTATATTGCATACTCATTATTGAGTTACAAGATTGGTGGTTTCGATCTATCTCTGAAAAAAACTCTGGCTTGTGGTGGAGAAGACGATGAACAGTAATTGACGGTATGGACGGACGTTCATGAAAACAGAATTTGAGAAGAATGTAACGACCACAATAAGTGGACGAATGATCATGGACAGACAATCATGGACGGACGATCGTGGATACAATAATAGTAGCACGAACAAAAAACAAAAGTTCACAATCGAGATTGTGATTTGAAATATGAATGCCCGTGATTATGTTTCCATCCATATGTGTCCATGATCATTTGTCCATCCAAACATGTCCATGCGGCCATCTTGTTTTTGTTAATCAAAACATGTCTATGATCATTTTTGTCCATCCGGATTTATCCATGTCCATCTTGTTTTGTGCAATACAGAACTAACAACTGCTTAATTTTGTCCATCTAATATGGTTTAGCTAAATATTCATATTGTGAATCAGTACAATTTGTATCATGGACAAATGCAATTTGTACCAAATCTGATAGATAAAGAACTTCATGGAACACAATTTAATTATGCATGTTCGTCCATAGTTGGTTATCCACACTTTAATCATCCATAGTTTAAAATCTTTAGCTTCATTATCAAATGATTATTTCTGTCCACTAGTATTTATCCATGATCGGTTGTCCATCGATGTTCAATACTTATCTCAGATCTCCATCATCAATGGTCGTACAAACCTGTTTCAATTTTAGATATGCATCGTTAATAGTTGCTTGGCCTCTAAAACTCTGTCACACCTAATTTTAGATTGGGGGGGGGGGGGGGGAATTATCTAACATGAAAATGGAAAACAAAGCTAATTGATGGAAGAAATTATTGAGAGTAGATTAGATGTTATAGAAACTCCTCTTGGCAGCAGAGAAACGAATCTAGAAGTTTTTCAATCCATTCGAGTGAGAGAAGCTCGGTTTCACCACCGAGGGCATTGAGATCAATGAATTTCTCAGTGACTCTAGCTCAACCTCCATATTGCTTCGCTTGTGCTGGTTACTTCCAGCGGCGATTGCTGTTGAGTCAACTTGGTCTCGCTGTTAACTTAGCAACGACCTCCCACATGATCCTTGAAAATTCATCGCTGGCATCCTAAATATAGATGCAAAGTCGAAGGTTTTTTTATGGCTTCGACGGATGCGGCGGCAAAGAAATAAATTTTCTATCATTGATATATTGCAATTATCAAAATGAAAAACAACATATGTTTTTTACTTCTAATAAAAATGTAAAGTAAATATGTGTATAAGGAAAATATATTTTAGTAAATATAAATGGTCAAAGTGCCTTAATAGCTGTAAGTGTCTTTTTTTTGTAATATAAATTTGATAAAGTGTGTGTGAATGTAATAAACTCAAAATAAAATAAGGAACCAACCTTGCTGCTACTACTAGTCTTGCACATTTTCAAAAAGGGAACAAAGACTGTTTCAAATTCTTGTTTCACGTCTCTCACATACATTTCCACCAATCTCTCCTCCACTTCCTCCACCAGTAATCTCTCTCCGACTGCAACAACCACCATTCTCTTAAATATTAATCTCAACAAAAATGTCATCAAATTATTTAGAGATTATAATATCAGAGCCTGACAATTATCAGGTTATCCAATAATGAATTTTACAAAAATTCTTTAACATTAACTGATTTCTTAGAGATTATAATATCAGAGCATAACAATGTTCTTAAATTCATCCGAAATTAAACCGTTTGAATGAATACAACACGTCTTATTGATTTTTTTTTTAAACAACAAATCGTTTTGAGAAGAACAAAGTATAAAATAAACAACTAATCAATCTCTAGAGTGTCAAAGCAAATGCTATATATATACACACATATATATATATATATTAATGAAAAATGTACCTAAATATTTCTTTTTGGTGTGAAACAAAATTTTTTTTTTTACTTATTTCCTATTGAAACAAAAACCGATCAGCTTTCGGTAAGAGATTATCGACGGCCTACCGTACGGCCCGGCGGCTTCCTGCGCCGCCGAGTTTATCTCCGATGATACCCTTCACAGCCACCGCCACAAACAACTCACAATCATCCGCCTTTAGACCACCACCGCCGCTCATTTCTCGACCCCCTTTTGCGTCAACATTACCACCATCTAAATCAATTTACTTACGTATGGCTCAAGTAACCCCAAATATATATATATATATATATATGATTTTTGATAGGGACTGATACGATTTTGTTACTTTAAATTCGGTTCGGGAAATGCTGTTGCAGTCTTGTAGAGATGGGTATCTGTGATCAGGACTATATTGTATTGATATCTCCAGATATGTCTTAATAAATAAAAAAACATACATATATGACACAGCTGAGCTAGTAATCTCCCTGGATTGGTTGGGACATTGCCGTGCATTTCACTTTTATTTGTTTTTCAGTGATTTTTTGTGGCGTTTAAAATCCTAAGATAATTGTTTGAGGAAAAACATAAACAAACAAAAAAAAATATTCTAAGAATAAATTGGTCTGAGTTTTGGATGGACACATATACACATTTTAAAATTTGATCTGAAAATAAATAATGACGTAGAATTGTTTTAGAAATTATAGAAATAAATCTACAATTCTTACCGATCAATCTATAAGTGTATATGAGATTTAAAGATTTAGAATAATTGAATAAAAAAAAGTGATTGCAGTCATCTTCTGATGATATTTGCTGATCCAACTCACGAATCGGTTGGTACCTCAGAATAGTTGGTTCTAGAATTTGTTTGTGTAGAATTTTTACCAAAAAAAGGATAGTATATTAAAAGATATTGAACTAGACTCCTAGGTTGGATATTGTTTTATTTGCTTATTGACTTTGGGAACAAACAAAATGATAGTTTGGTCTATGTTGGGATTTTCTGGTAATCATCGATTCGGATCTTACAGTCCTAAATATATATATAGTTTATTGTAATATAAATTATAGAAATATTAAGACAAACAGAGGAAGCAATCGATGGGATGGAGTCATGGAGATGGCCTTCAAAGGTTTAATTATTCATCTAATTATACTTTTCAAATTCGAAAACTTCTGGACGGCCAATTAGTTATCTATTACTAGCGTGTATTATTTTGGGGTTTAATTAGGTAGAGATTTGTATTTCCCATGTCAGTTATATGTATGTATTCTGAATACAAATATTAATGTGTTCATGTATCTTCTTTACAAATTTAGAACTTACAAAAGATAAATATTTAATTTTATCTAGTAACATTTATTCTTTGAAAGTAACATAACTTCTTTAAGCTACTGGATTACTCTTGAAGTGGTCGCAAGTTAGCAACTATACAAATTTTGCATATTGTTAATTTCTAGAACGATTCAGAGGCTAATATACTAGCGATTGATGATTTGAGCGTTTAAACTAATTTGTATTCATATTATAACTCATACAATTATTTTGAGAAGAACAAACTACATATATAAGTATAACTCACACAGTTTTATATTTGATCTGATTTTTTTATAAGACAATGTAGCTTTTAGTGACAATCAATAGATTAGATAACCATTTTTATCTGACAATATTATTCAATGTTTTTTGGGGCTAACAAAATGTAACATTTCAGTATTTTAATACTAATATACATTATTCAGTTTGAATACAAACATGCATCATAGTGTTTCTTTTATCAACTAGAAGTTGGTGATGTGGTTATAGTGGTCACGTACGATAACTACATCACAAAATTTGGAGAATGTTGTTGCTACGTGACCATTATCAGTTTGAATACGAACATCATATCTGTCTTTCAGAAATCGTGGATCAGCTCGAGATAGAAGGTGTTGTTACGAAAACGGGGAAGAACAAAGTATTTTATATCATTCATTCTTTTTGCATATTGAGAATATTTTCTTAATTAACTGTTTTCCTTTTTTTTTTTCTCTTTGCAGATCTCTTTTAGAACGCAAGGAGTATGGAGAGCTTCTGAAAAAAAGAGTTGAGAAGGCCAAGGAAACTTCTCTTCTAAAAGAGAGAGTTTCTCTTTTGGAGAAGAACAAGAAGAGCTGCTACGGTGGTTGATGGTCCAAGTAGACAAGGAAGAAGGAGGTTGATCATCCAAGGCTTATAAACCGAATGGAACACAAAACACTTTGCTCTTATGAGACCATAGAACACGATCAAAGACTAAACATAAAAACCTCAAAACATGTTTCTGTTTTGGAGAAAACTGCCTTTTTCTTGTTGAAATTTTTGACATAAGTGAATTCACATGAAAACTAACATAAACACAAAAAGAAAACTCATACAAAAAAAAGAACATTTTTAGGTGACAAAAATGTTAATATGTTATTCAATCTTTCTAGAGCTACCAATTAAAATGTAAACATTTCAGTATTTTAATGGGATACAAGCAGTCAGCTACTATCACTAATATACATTCAGTTTGAAACAAACATCATAGTGTTTCTGATTACCTTATCAACTTAAATTTTGGTGATGTGGTTATAGTGGTCACGTACGGTAACCACATCACAAAATTTGGCGAAAGTTGATATACGTGACCATTATCAGTTTGAATACAAACATCATAGTGGTCATAGTATGACCGGTCACATATCGTAACTTGCAAAATTTAATAGTGATTTGGGATCTGATCGTCTAGACATGTAACATATATGCAAATTTATGATCAATCCGGTTTTTGATTTGGCTGAGTAAAAATGTTTTCGATTTTTTTGCTTACACAAAAGTTAAGCAAAAAGGTCCAACATTTCTTTGTTATTTCCTTCCTTTTTTTTGTGAATTTCTGCTGAGCACAAATGAAGATATACCTGAATAATTAGTGATAGAATAATGATTAATTAACTGGTCGTTTACGAGAACGACATATTTAAACTAAGTAATCATTGTCGACTCTCTGACTTTATTAGTTAAGCCTCCAATAGACACACAAATATAGACGATTAGTCCATTTACAGCAGAATAGATCGATTTTACACACAAATGACATAACTGATCATTTGATTCCACTTTTACCTACCCGTCCCTCTCCTTGTCTGTCCTTTAACGATTACGTATCATCAATTTCTCGTTTTTGTAACTCGACCAAAAAAGGTCAAACTCTCCTCTGTAAAAGGGAGCCATGTGTGCTCACTCTCTTCTGTGGCCTTCCTTATTGTTATTCACTTACCTCCTTTCATTAGTATCTTCATTGATATTCGCCCATGCATACGATCTTCATGTTTAATTAGCCACGACCCCTAAGTTTTAATCTTCTCTCTATCATATATGATGATATGAAACAATTGTGTCTGAGTTGTGGTTTTATATATAAAGAAAAAACTGTGTCTGAGACTCGATCTGTACTGCTCTAAAACATGTTATATGAAAAAAATAGAAACTCTATACAACACAGTGATCGCAATTATTTTATTAAAGACAACAAAATGGTTACTAAATTGTAATCGGATTTATGATGTGAACGTCCAAAATTTTAGTTGTTAAAAAACTTCAGTTGTTCTTTTTAGTTTACATTTATATAAAAAAAAGACGTATCGAATTAGAGACTTAGAGTGTTACATTATTACGATTTTTGAGAGCGAGATATATCCCACTTATGATTAACGAATAATAAACTATCTATTTGGTTCTTGAGTAAAGAAGCACTTATACAGTTAATTAACTATACAGTTGACAACAACAACGAGAAGAAAAAAACAATTATTTATGTACATATATAACATATGTTATGATCTATGTTAGGGATTCTCAAACTTAAGATCTCTAGAACACACACTGGTCATCCAATCAAAGAACAAAGGAATAAAAAGTATCTTTTTGTAAGGACGAATCTTATATCGAAACGTGAGCCAGAGAAATTGATATAAGAATGGAAACAAAAGCGAATGTTACCAAAGTTTTTGGAGTAAATTAAGTAAAGCCAAAAGATGCCAACGGCAATGTATTATGTACCTCCTCTCCCTAATTTTTATATTGTTTTGCATTTCGATTTGATTTGATTCCCCATTCACATTCCCTTGTTCATGTGTCTGATGCACGCAACATGCATAAGCGGTCCCCTTTAATCACTACGTTTCTCGAAACGCCAACGTAAACTTTTTTTTTTTTTTATAACTCCAACGTAAACTTTTTACGTGGTATCAAAAATATTTAGGTTTTTTTTTTTGTTTAATTTGCAATGCTTATTGTATCTGTTAACGTCACGTATATTATTAAAGGGGAAATGAACACATTTCCTAAAAGGTTTTCTTTAGCAATAACCTAAGTCCATTAAGATCATGAAAACCACGCCGACCTAGCTCGGACTAAAGGAAATATCTTAAAGATAACTATCAAAGACCGGAAACATCCGATCAAGTCGGAAGATAAAAGAGAATTTCTATATTTCTCGGAGAATAAGGAAGATTTCCATATCACGAATATGGAAATATTTGCCAAAGGCAAAAAGGAAAAAGAGCTCGGAGCAACCGACCTCCTATCCCTATAAATAAAGAAGACCTCAAAGCCAAGAAGAACAACTCATACATTCTAGAGAGCAGCAGAGCAAGAACCAGAGACTCCAACGCTTTCTAGTTTACTTCGCAAACACCTTTCTTACTTCGGCATAACCTCTCGGTTATACCATTCTTTGTAATCGCTACGCTTTCTTGCTATTAATAAAAAGACCTTATTCTCCAAAACCCACAACTGCTAATCAAACCCTAGTGGAGATTTTCTAGTTCAACAGTTGGCACCGTCTGTGGGGGCTAGGAGAATAAATTCTTTAAAAAAAAAATAGCAAGAGAAGCTGAAGCGATGAGTCTCCCGATCGACAACAGCGATCTCATCCGCAATGACGATGACACCACCACTCACACCGAGACACCCGCTCTCGGCGAACATACCAACTCGACTACCGCAAATCCACCCACAGGAGAACCCCCAACTCCCATCCAGGCTGCCGACCTCACAGCAGCAATACAGGCCGCCATTCTCCCCCTCACACATAACCTGGTGTCTAAGCTAGACACCCTTCAGGCCCAGCAAGCCAAATACGACGAACAGCTCAGCGCCTTCACGGCCGCGACCACCGTAAGATCAGGACCAATCAGACGTCGGCT